TTTTTTTACTGAGAATGTTTTGTTTTCTTTATTTACCAATATACTCTTATTTAATTTGTCTAGTTATAGCCAATTTTTTCACTTAATCGAAATTGTACAAATATAAATAAGGATAAATTAGAAAAGTTTTTAACAAAAATTACTTTTTCAATAACATTAAATAAAATTTCTTAATACATGTAAAAAAACAAAATCAATCTACATAAATGGGACAAAAGAAGTAATAATCATGTGTCCTTGGAATTACTTGTGTCATAAATATACGATAATATTGCTTATTTTGTATTGATGAGCGGTACATGCAAGAATAAAATAGAGAAATTTTAATAGAAGAATTGCATAACATATTTCATTAATTTTTAAATTATTTCATTGCCCTTATTTATGTAGCAAAATTGAATAAATAATGCTAGGCCCTGTTGGTGACGGGGGCTTTTCGTAGAAATCTAGATAACTTGGAACTATTGCTAGCATAAAATGGACATGTAATTTGATACTAATATATTGAATAAATGCATATTTAGGGCAAACACGATTTGGTTTAGAAGATTTGTGACATTTCAAACCAAATCACTTAAAGTGAAATGGAAATTTTTATTTTTTATTTTTTTTTCAAACCGTTTCTATTTTTAAACCAAACCAATCCAAACTACTTTCAATTTGGTTCGACTTAAAATCATGTTTTAACAAAGAAAAAAATTAACATATATCAAATAAATTAAATCGTAAATATTAGCCTAAAATATAATGTTTAGACATAATTAAAATTAATAAAAATATTACATACCAAAATTCTATAATTCTAATCATTATAATGCAACAATATGATATAAACATTTTAACACCTTAATCGATAATAATAGGCACAACATATGTAATTGTAACACATGGTACTTTCTCTCCATAAAGATAAGTGTTGACCTATGGTTGATTATAATTTTAAACTTTTGATTATAACAAATAAGTTAATCTTGTTTACTAACAATTGAATTTAAAGTTATTATAATCTTCAAAGCATCCAACGAAAAATTGATCGATAATTATCAAAAGATCAAAAGCTATTATCACAATTGGACTCATGAAGGAGATCAAGATCGAAGTCACACATTTAAGATCTTAAGTTCCAAACTTTGAAGCAAGATCAAAGATTAGATTTCTTAGTACAAATGTAAATGTACTAATAATTTGATATTTAGCAATAAATGTTTAAATTCAAAATTTTTCTATGCATCAAAAATAATTTTGTGCATTTAAAGTTATTTTGATACAATATTTTGATGAAATATAAAATTGAATTTTAAAATGACAATTGAAGTTGAAAAATGTCTTTTTTCTTGAAAAACTAGTTAAAAATACATTTCAAAAGTCCACATTTTTCAAAGTCATCAAATTGGATCAAACGAGGCCAAAACGTAAAAAGGGCAAAATAGCCGGACGGTTGACTAGTGGAAGAAGTGGTCGACCGAAAATTTTCCACGCTCCTTTACAAACGACTATATTGGTCATCCGAACTTACAAATTTTTTTTAAAGTTTTAAATTCTATAAATATCCCCACTCTTTCCATTTTTCACAAGACTTTCATGAGCATCAAAGTGGACATTTTCTTTTAGAATTCTTTGGGCTTTCCTTTGTATTCATTTTATTTATTTCTTTATTTAAAAACTTTGATTGATTTAAACTCTTTAATTATCATTTTCATCAAAGTTTTTCATATTTCCTTTTGTAGTTAACTTATTTCTATCATTCGTAGAAGAGATAGTTGTTTTGAAAAAAAGCTTTGAATTTACATTGTATCGTTTCTTCTAATTCTCTATATTAAAACTTTAATTTATTGAATCAAACATGTAAAATTTTAATATTCATCAAAGTTTATCATCTCTCTTTTGGTATATAATTTTATACCATTGTTCATTAAAAGAGAGATATATTTTGAGAATATTTTTGAACTAACATTGCCTTTATTTCTATTTTATCATCTCATTAAAAAACTTTGGTTGATTGAATTAAACTTTGAAATCATCATATTCATCAAAATTTTCTCATCTAACAATTGAACTATCATTTATTGCTATTCATTTAAGTATTAACCTATCTTATTACTTAATTCAGTTGTATCATTTATTGAAAGAGGAGTTCATTATAAATTAATTTTGTTATACTTTTACATCATAGTAAGGTCCCGTGAAGCTTAATAATGTGGTCATATTGAGGTCCTTAAAACTCAATAGTGTGGATCATATTGAGGTCCCGCAAAACTCAATATTTTATAAGGATAAGTGCTCCTCATTTGTAAGTCAATCAATATGATGAAAAGGCATTGCTAGTGCCGGAGAGTTTGGTAATGGAAGATGTAGATAATTGTTTTGGATCAAACATCCACAATTATATCGTTTTGCATCCTCTCTTCACATTTACTTATCACTTTCATATTTGCACTTATTACTTGAATTAATCTATTTAATCTTTACTAGAATTTAGATTAATTCGTCAAAAAAATAATTTAAAAACCAATTCACCTCTCTCTTAAGTATTCTTGGGCTTTCAATAAGAATATAAGATAATACACATGATAAACATATAACACAAGATACATTCTCTCCATGACTTCATTGATTATTGTTAAATGATGTAAAATAACTAATAAAAGAAAATGAATAAAAATATCAAATACGATGATACCTTCTATAACATTTTGTGAATCATTTCAATGCTTTTATTTCATCCAAATATTGACGAATCAAATAGGTTTATTGTGATTATACAACCAATTTTTCTGGCCAATCACCACCTCAACTAGATTTTCTCTCAACGAATTCTTAAAGGAATAAAAAATTTGACTCCAATTAGGGAATGCGGACTCATAAATAATTTTGAATAGATAATACATCTTTAATAATTTTGGGGGGAACAGTGTTGTACTTATTTACTTACAACACTAAAGTAATATGTCGAAATGCTTGTTGGTCAAATCTTCAAAACAACTATTTAAGAAATCTACTAAATCATTCTAACCATTAATAGTAAAATCTTAAAAATAAGTTTAAATGTAAATAATTAACTAAGTGACCTGACTAGGATATTGAGAAATAAATAAATAATGTTGTCTGTTAAAAATTTAAAGGAGCCCAGCACAACTTAAAATAAATCAACACAACTACCAATAAAATGTAGCAATTAATTAACAAAAAATAAGAAGATTTGGATAAATTGACTCGAAAATTTAGTCGCTTATGTGGCTAAGTGTTTTTGAAACTTTGATCATAACTCTTAACTAGTCTTTGAAACTTTTCAAGTAGAAATAAATAGAATTCTCTCTTTAGGGTTTATTTTTAGTTAATATTTTAACAGAACTAGACAAGAGATTATAATGCCCACAGTTGATGTCCCAAAGTGTGACGTTGCCACATCAACTGTGTTTTAATTTATTTTTTTATTTTTTTTAAACTTTATCCTCCACTGTTGATGTGGTAAGCATTATAACCTCCTGCCCCTTGTGGATCTGTAACACCAAAAAATTTTATTGAATAAAATTATTTGTTTTATATTCTATATTTTTAAAATTTTGAAAAAATTGGGGGGCTAAAGTGATATATGTATTAAGTTCAATTTTATTTGAACCAAATATTTAAATATTGATAGAGTGATAATAAGTAAATTAATATTGGGCTTGTTGAATAGCTCGTATTTAATCATGTATATTGAAATTTTGGAACGTGCAACCCTTTGATTTCTTTCATAATTCATTTGATTTGACGAGGTAGAATTATGAAGTGCAAGTAGTTTTATCCCGTTTAATTTATTTCTTCATGTTGATAAATGTTATGCTAATGAAAGATATAATACAATATGATACAGCCATTCAGTACCAAATATGTGATATGTTATGTTTTTTTATCGATTTTCTAAAAATATGATATGACGGTATAATTATTTTGATGCATGAATATATATTTTATTCAGGATTATACATTTACTTTTATCCTATTGAGTATTCTCATCTACTCACTATTTTCCCTACTTTTCACAAGTTAGAACAAGTAATTGATTGGCAGGCGATGAAGTGCAGTCATTGTGCCAAGATTTTTATGGAACTCAGTAAAATAATCCTATGTAACGAGACAAATTTTATCACATGAATAATTCTTTTATTAATTTGGAACAATGATTATGTTTCCTACTTTCAAACATTGTGTGATTTTATGCACTTACTGTTCAATTGAGAAAATTAGTTCTGAGTTTGAATTGTATACCAGTTGAGTAATAAATTAATTAATTAAAGAATATGGAAAATTACTAATCAATTTTGTGTAAACTATTCATACATAAAATCCATGAACAATTAAACTATTAAGAAAAAAATATTTTGGCAGAGACATTAATATATAAAAATTTGGGTCATTTACGAAATCAGTTCTATTAAAATATTAACTAACAATAATCCCCAAAGAGTGAATTCAGTTTATTTCCACTAGTAAAGTTTCAAAAACTAGTCGAGTTATGGAAAAAAAAAAATTTATGCTTATCTAAGCAACGTAGTCTCCAGCTAGTTTTTCTTGTCATTTTGGTCCTCAACTTTCAATTTTTGTAGAATGCCACAATGTGAGCTCCCAACGACAAAATTTCTTCTTGTTTTGTCATTACTTCATTGTGTGTCACAACCGACTAAATAATGAGAGAAGAAATGGGATTAACAAGGACAATGGTGGGGCGGAGACCGGGAGTGGGGTACGAAAGGCTTGGATGAGAGGAAAAGGTGGTAATCCGAACAAGAGATGGAAGGTAGAGGTCAGACCATGACACGGTGGAAGGCAGGTGTGGGGATTAGGGAGCACGGTAACGGGTTTGCGAGGTGGGGGCATACAACTGGATGTGGTCTCTCTTAAACTGAAAATGGACAAATATCACATTGACAGCAATGGTGGAACAAGAACAACCTCTTTAGGAGGTAACTAAATAGTACATCAAATATAAAATCCAATCGACACACGGCTGGAATTAGTCGTCAAAAAGAAGATGCGAAAGCTTTTGAACTTAGTATGCTTAACATCACACTCATCTTTGCAAGAAATTCATATAGATTACTCATCGACAATATAAACATCCAGAGTTAGAGATGAAGTATACATCCATGTCAAACAACAAAGTATTCTATCAGCAAATTGGCAAAGTAACCTGAGTCAACGCCATAAAGCAGGCACTCAGGAGCTGAATCACAAAGTATCCAAACATGCATGGAGGAAAATCAGTCCATCCTTCCCTTCAGGATCCTCTCCGTAACTTCAGTTGGTGTGCTGCCATAATATAAAAAGTTCAGCGAAATTCTCACTAAAATTGCACAAAAAATCACAATAAAAACTTTGATCTTGCCATTATGGATCCACGAGGGTAATGCTTCCAAGAACTAAATTTCCGCATGAGGAAAAAAAATCACCGAGAAATAGAAAAGCAATCAGAAAAAAGACTTACACGACATAGACATGCCCTCCCCAGCCACTTAAACAGTCGCGGTCTACTGATGACAGGAGTGCTTGTGAGATGGTCTCAAACAATTCCTCAGCATCCTGAAACAGTTAAATAAGTTAAATATCTTGCACCATTGGCATCACGAAAATTGTGTGCAAAATAAAAGAATCAGTGAGGCTGAGATTTTATCATCTTAGGGGAAGAAGCCATTAGTCAATGTGCTAACCAATTTCAAATGAAAGTGAGGTGGTTGGATATTTTTTTCAAATTTTTATACTATCATAAAAGCTAGATTTGATGTACGCAATAATGGAAAATAAACACAGTATAATGTAGAAATTAATAGAAATTAATTCCTCCTCCCATGCTCAGGTAAACAGTTCTTAAAAACCACCCAGCCCAATGAAATCAACAGCAAACCAAAACGAATGAAGTATACATTTTCCTGAAGCATGATCACGCAGTAACTGTTGCAAAGCACGAAATATGCTCTTTTTTTAGTCAAATTGGATTTCATCTTCACCTCAGTGGCATCACAGAATATATATACTGCATGCATGGATTAGAAATATGCTCTTTTTATCTGGTGACTGAAATTAGGTAGCTCATTTGTGGGGTGTGGGCTTGATATCCCAAAAAACATAGGAGAAAGAAGCACATAAAAGAGACGGACAAAGAGATACAAATAAGATGAGCGCAGTAATACGTATAACAGCTATTGTGGAATGTGCTCATTATGCAAAGCATTAATGCTATTAGTAGATACAAAAGTTTCATTGTTTCTTGAAAAGATTAGTTAAAGACGAACATCCAATCTACAATTAATATACCCAGATCATAAAAACTACAAAGCCACCAAAGTAACATGGTGCATTTATGAACTTACACGTGTGAACTACTCAAAGCTTTTTAATATGATTTTACACCAGTGATTATAGCCAGCCCATAATTCATGAGTAATGCAATATAGCACCACCTGTGCTAAAACAGTAGTCTATGTGCCAAAAGATGGTAAGTCTAATTATATGGGCCCCATAGCACCACATTTAATTGGACTTAACATTTGACGCCATGTATTGCCACATAGAATAGTGGTGCAACAAAGCAATATTACTGGAAACAAGCCTCAGTTTTTTGTTCTTGGAGTTGTTCGTAGACGAGAGAATTACTCTACTAGAAATAACACAGATTACTTATGTTTTCAACTGAAATAGTTGCTTAAAAGCAATTGGACCCTTTAAATTGGACTTCCACAAGTTCCGTGCAGTATTCCTTTTTCCATATAACAGATGCGTCTCATCCCAACATCTAATGCCTGGGTAACATGATAACTCCTAGCAGAGTTGGTGAGGACTTGAGTGATGATGACAAAAACCTTTTTTCATTAATCTTACACAAATAAAAAAAAAAAAAAATCTATGTAGTTACTTTGGTCAACATTATGTTGCATCAGCTGAATCCATTAGAATCATCATATGTTTGACTCATAGATACTGTATTATACCGTGCACCAACTCTTACCAAATAACACTAGTACAATAGGTTTAACTGTATAATCAAGTGAAAAGCTGACCAATATTTCTGTAAACATAGATCTAGAAATAACATATTTTATTTATCTAGATAAATATTTTTTTCCAACAGTTTATTAATCATGTTGTGAAGATACATTCATTAAGTGGTCAACGGGATCTCTTAAAATCGAAGAAAAACAATACAAACACAAAATTAATAATACATCACACTTCCAAGTTCCAACCAAGAATAAATAAAGTAAAATGAACTCTCTACAAACCCATGAAGAAGCCAAATATATTTTTATACAATCTGCCATCTGGTAAATAAAAAAAGTTCTATTCTATCTCTATGGCATCACAGAAACAAGGCTCAAAAGTGTGTAGAAATTTGCTTTATTAAAAACAACTCATATTGCCAAAAAATTGTCTACAGCTAGAGCAACCAAAGTAAAGATTATTTGTGAACAGTTAGTTCAAACCTGTGGATTCTACATAAATCATCGATTATAAATGGTTTTCATATAAAAACTCACATAACTTTGAAGGTGAGTCTGGGGGAAGGAGAATTTATTACTCAGCAAAAGCCTCACTTGGCTCATGTAATTAATTATACGAGTAATAAGACCAAAAAGAATATTTAAATGCTATCTTTATAAAGGTTAAGTTTAAAACCACAAAAAAAGGGTAAGCAATTTCAAGTAAAGACAAACCATGTCAGGCTTGAACATTGATTCACAGGCACCATACAGCGATTCAGAGGCCGTTCCAGCAACAACAAAATCTTTGGCAAGTTCCCTGGCATTTGAAGAAACAAAAACAATAGCATAAAAGAAGAGTAAATACGTATCTACAAAACACTGCATGTAAAATCTAACAAGATATGTCTGCAATGAGCATTAAGCTTGAATGCTAGTTCTAACTCAGGCTTTAAGAATTGCATAAATAATGACACCACCTTTGAAAATAGGAACAATACAGCATTGAGGTTTTAATCAATTTAAATAATTTTCAGCAAACAATCTAAGGCAGTAAAATTCAGAGAGAACTTTTTAGATGTTTTTGCCCCGGAAAATACTGAGATTTAAATGTTACGCAAATCTGAATTACTACTTTTTACTTATACACTGCACTCTTAGAATATAAACAGAAGGTATCTTAAGCACACGAGTTTATGTAAAAACACTAGATGACTTGTCTTTCAAGAAAAGCATATGAAACATAGAAATCAAAATAACTAAAATCATGTAGATGCAGAAAGTCCAAGGAATTGGTATAATTCTGAAAATTATGAGTTGCAAGAACTAATTTGGACCTCGAAGCTTTTTTTTCTTTTTTTCTTTGTTTTTTTTATGACCATGGGTGTTGAACCAGCTCACACGTACCTCAACTAATCTCACGGGGCCCTAAAATTTACAGTCGGATACTCACCTCAGTGGCCCTAAGAGAGACCTCGAAGCTATTTTATTTTATTTTTTTAGAGAAGGGTAAAATCTAAAGAGACCAAAACTCCTGATGAAAACATGAAGACGGGAAGAAACTAGGCATACTTAGCACCAATAGAATCCATAGTGCAAATGAAGGGCTTGTCTTCGTCTCCAAGTCCAGCAATTACAGGTTGGCAGAAGTACGGACCGAATCTAAATCACAAAAAGAAGAAACAGAGCACAAAATTCTCTCAATACTTGAATGTATAACTGAATTTAAAAAATGTATGAAGTGTGAGATTCTTCTAATATAATGGCATGAATCAATTCACATGTGCATACACAATAGAAAGGGGAAAGAGATGAAGGAAATAAAAACAAAAATTCATTAACTTAGTTCTCTTCATCTACATCTTCCATAAACCTGCAAACCTTGTCTCTATAATGTAGCTATGGGTTATTAAGTCTCTAATCACCATTTGCCACACTTAGCAGTAAATTAACAGATCAGGTAACCAATGCATAAGTTTTCAAAGAACCATCAACGAAAAACATAAAAGAAATTGAAGCGCATATATAAAGCCTGTTTGAGCACCATTTTTAGCAAAGAATGTATTTTGGCATGGTAGATTGATGGAGATGTGAGGTTAAAACATAAGGAAAAGTTTTGTTTGAGTGTAATATTATTTTTTTGAAGAATGTGTGGTTGAAAAGAAAAGAGAGAAAAATGTATTCGGGACCAAACAAGGGCATAGTACATTTTCCAAGAGTAGCTTTGATGTGTAATAGGATACTACTATCTACGCACAAAATATGATATATAATGGGCCAAATAAATTCCATTATTATTAGTTTTTTTCATAAACAAGAAAATTTATTAGGAAGTAAAAGCAATGTGCGAGTGGCTCAGAAACAGAGGTTATTTACTCATCTAGGCTGCAATTTAAGTGAACTATATGGCATTCAAGTTTTATTTAGTAAGAATATCTATCCAGTTAGCAGGTTTGGTTATCTAACTGTTAAATCATTCTTTTTAAAAATAAAAATTATATCAAAGCAACAACAATTTATTTTAAACTGCACAGCCCTCAAGTGCACCAAGATAAGTAGCGTCTTCATAAGACAGCCAGAGCAATTTGCTATGTTACCAACCTTTTCTCATAAAGAATAGCAGATACGAGGCTAGCAAAGGTTTCAGGCTTCATGTCCCTCTCTTCTCTAAGCTGATATAACTTGTGACGAAACACAAGCCGCTGATACCTTCAGAGAGTTAAAAAATAAAAGGAGAAAAGAAATCAATAATACCATAAAATTCATCAAAAACCAATTTCGCCACTGTTTGGTAAAGATTAAAATTCAAATTTTAATCTAAGTCAAAGTCAACAATAAATTTTAACCACATACTTCGTGAGACCCATCCACAATTTTTTAACCATACATTTTATCAACTTTTATAAAAATTTACTAAAAATCTGATTTTAATCCTCGTCAAACATGGCCTTAAATAAAGAAGCCCCAGGAAAGAGTTTATCCTTTCACTAAATTTGTAGTTTGATTATACTTAAAAATGGGCATTTAAGTTTACTTACAGTCTCAGCAATATTCAACAGAACACAAAAACATTAGCCATAAGTAGTCCAAAACAATCCGCAAGCTACTGGAGAAAGGTTCATTAGTTGGAACTAGAGTATAACAACATGTTGCATATAATCCTTCAGAGTTGTATCTTTCCCTAATAAACAAGCGTATTGCACTACATATGCTCACAATTTTGTCAACATTTTTAAGCAACATACTGTGGGTCATATTCATCCTTCGAAGTTTGAAGGTCAATATGAAAAAAGGTCTCTTTTTTAGTTTTTTGCTGATATGAATGTACATGTTTTATCCTTCTTCTCCTTCTTCTTTCTTCGTATCCATACAAAAACACACAACTCAAAACACATAAATCCACTTCTAGCCTTCACTTCCTTCCATTTCATGATTGTCCAAATTACTATTATACATGAACAAAAGTTTTGTGAAGAATTCTAAAAAACTAAGGTATGTTAAATTCATCATCATTAAAACATAAGGTAACTTTTGGATTACGAAGGATTGGGTAAACAAGGAAGGAATCTATGAAAAATTTAAAGGGAGGTGAATTTCCATTTTCCTTCACTACTTTGGCCCTTCTTAATAAATTTCCTAATATTTCAAATCATGCTAAAGATATCATAGCTTGCTAAAGTTGGAGTATGTGTATCAACAGAAACATCATATAGCTCAAAATCTGTACCTTTCTCTAATGGTATTACTATGGATGACGATGTTAAAAAAAAAAAATGGCGAGTTTGCTCATGAAGCTTCAAATTCTTATGTCCTATATTGTATATCAAAGGTTTCGTGCATCTACATACAAAAAAGCCTATCGTGCATATGTGTCAAGCGTTTCAGTATGCTTTGCCTAATAGATAGATGTTGAAATATCGATATCGATAATAATTACATATACAAGAGATAAATGAGTACAACAAAATTGGAAAATAGCATTTACAGGGTCTGGGCGTCGGTAGCCAGGCCAGATAGACCAATGAAGAGCTTTTCGTGGATTTTATAAATTTTTTGAAAATCCGTGGCGATTGTCTGCAGTTGTACTCCCAACCGGCGATCACTCGCGATCGCGAAGCAATTCTTCCCCACCATTGCCACTAGGGCACTTCCATTGTACTCAAAGATCTGCATCACTTCAATTTCAGTCAAATCGTACAAATTTGAAACAAAATCATGCACACAATTAGCAATCAACCAATTAGGGTTTTACACTGTATACGTAATATTAACAAGAAGTTGTATGTTAAATACTTACCGACATGTCAACAGATATATAGAGAGAGAGAAATGTGAGCTGCTTATGTGAAAGTGATGAATCTGGGAGGTGAATTAGAGTTTGTTGGTGGCTTGGGGAAGGGGAAAGAAGCCTCTTTTAGCCCCGATGTCCCCGTTCCTTCGAAATTTTAATAATTATAAAAGTCCCATTTTTTTCAAAATATATTTTTTAACAATAATTTGATATTATTCTAATTACATATTTTTTAATAAAATAATATTATACGTAAATTCATAACTTTACATTATTTTTTAATCACACATTTTTCACCATAATATTATTTTAAAATGTATTTTTTTAAAATAATGAAGCTCAAACAATTCCTTAAAAAAATGTTATGATATTAAGTGGAATATTATTTTATTTAAAAATATGTAATTGATAAAAATAAATTTAATGAGGTCAAATCGGGTCTAAATCTCTCCTTTAACACTGAAGCTCTGCAAATTTATCTTGAAGACTTTGAGAGACTTTTTTAAATGATGGTTATGATGAATTTCGTGGATCTTTTATATATTTATATAGAAGTAGTAGAAGTTCTTCGTAGACTTCTATGCGCTTTCATTTTAAAATTTTTATAAATTTTAAAAGATTTTCATTTAAAATAAAATTTACGTGAATTTAGTACAATGGAATAAAATTTTCATATACGAGGTGTTGAGTTCCACAATTCTCTTTTTTCTTCCCCCTTCTTCTTCCCATGTAATAAAAGAAATTAAAAGAATAAAATTTTAAGACCTTAATTAAATAAATAATAATCAAAATTATATATATATGATAAACAATAAATTTAATATTCAATATTATTAATATAATATACTTTTAAAAATAAATAAATATCAATATATTTAAATTTAATTATAAATTTTCGTATACAATTTTATAATTTAATAAAAAATAGATATTTTCACGAAAAAAATGAATGAAAAAAGGGGAAAAAAAGTTGTAAGAATTCAATTTAAATTTTCATAGAAATTAAAGAGAAACAATAATCAATACAAAAAATAAATTTTAATCATACGTGTAATGTTCATAGAAGTAAAAAGGAAATAAAGATTGAAAAGAAAAAACATTTTTTTTTTTGGTGAAAGTCTCAAAATCTCGTGATTAATGAGAGATAAGTTTTCAGATTTTATATGAGTACTTTTTACTTAAAAGTTAGTATCCTAGAAGTTTTTATAAAAGTCTCTAAAAGTTATTAAAATTTGAATACCCTAAGATTTATGAAAACTTCTAAAAAATTTTAATTTAATACACCGTAACTTTTCAAAAGTTTTAGCTGAATATACCATGATTTTTATAGACTTATTAAAACTTTATAAAAATCTCAATTAAATACATTAAGAGCCTGTTTGGGAGTAATTTTGAGAATTGATTTTTTGACCATTAGGAGAAAAGTGAGATCCACCTGTGATTAAATAAATCAAATATGACGGTTGGAATAGTGAAATAACGGTCAAAAAATTAATTTTTTGGGCCAAAAAATTACTCCCAAACAAGCTGTAATACTTTTAGAAGGTCTGAAAAAGTTTACATTGAATATTCCTAAACTTTTTAAATCTCATAAAATCATTAAAAGTCTAAATTAAATACAGAGGAAATTTCACGTAATGTCCATTTTCAACGAGTCATTTGCAAAAATGTCCACAATTTTGTTAATGTCCATTTTCCAATTATGTAGACGAAAATACCCCAGTTAGAAAATATTATTTCCACACAAGAATTCAAAATTTTCCATATCATTATTCATGTCAATCAACGTAGAAATGTCAATCAGCATTAAATGCCTGGGTCGGGTAGGTATGGGTCGAGTTGGATCGAGTTATGGGTTAAAAATGGAAACCTAATAGAACCTGACCCGAATACAAAAAAAAAATGAAGGCGGGGGAATGAAAAAGAAGCCCTAAACTAAGTCCTCTCAACTCTCACTCTCAGTCTCTCAATCTTCACTCCAACCCAACCCGCCGACAACGAGTCTGTCCATTTCTCTCTTATTTTCCCAGTTGCCGTTTGCCCACCACATTTCAGAGTCCAGTGCTATAGAGTAAGTTTATTTCGTTATTTTTTTCTTTATTTCGTTATTTTTTTCACTTCCCCAAGTCTCCCCTCTTCCTAAATCCTAGGATTTAGCTAGTTTAACATAAGTTGATATCAAGGTCACTGAGTGTCTCGATTCTATTGGGCGAGCAAATACTAACTGTTGATACAATTTGAGATAAAAAGTGGTACATGTGAGATACTGTTGAAAAGGTTGAAGAGGTAAAGTGTTTAAAGAAATCAGGAAAATGATTGTACTTTCTGTTGTCCCTGTTATTGTATCTTTTGCTTTGAGATATAATCTATATGTCAACTAAATTTGATACTGCTAGATGATAAATAACACTAGTACGAAGTGAAGAATACTCCATTTGAGGCATATTTCGCATCGAAGTTAGGCAATAAACATGATGAAATGACACGGGTTGTGTTGCTATTATACACTCTTAGACTGTTTGAATGCTCATCAGCAACTAAATGACTTTATTTTCGCATCAAATTTGTTCTGCATCTTGTTAAGGGTCGCATTTGTATATTGATGGTTTCTTATGGAGGAAGACTGTGATAGGTTGATAGCAGATAGAAAACTTTGTCAAATCTTATGACATGTATACTTGATTTTGCGTATGGTCTGTTGTAGTTGGCTCTAAATTTATTTAATACAAGGCTATGTTGTTGTTATTTATTTTGCTAAAGAATATTACATTTTCGATTTATTTGCATATCTAAATTAGGCAATTAACTTAATGAAATTGTAGAAGACTGTGTGTATACTTTTGAAATGTTTGAATGGTGATCAACTATAAAATGGTTACATGATAGCTTCAGATCAGAAGCCAGGTTTGTTTTAATTTCAACAATTAAACAACTTAGTTTAGATATGGTATTTTATCAAACCATTGTATTGTAAAAATCATTTTTCTTTCACTGCATTTTAACAAGAATGTTATATTTGATTTCGTTTGTACGTTCTCATACTATTTGTTAAAGTATTGTTTTCATTTGTTTTATTTGTAGATGAGTATGACACACCGATATAAATTTCGGAGGAAGAACGTGTCAAAGCCCATGTGCCGCAAGTGAGCAACACAAAATATATATCAGTTGTCCTCAACAAATTGGATCCACAGCAAAAGCGTCAGTTGAAGGACAGTTGTATAGGACATGTTGCAAGGTTACCGAAACTGAAACTATCTGTTCAATTAATTCATGAAATGGTAAACAGATAGGTGGTATGCCGAAAGCGGTTTGAGGCTTGGTTCAAGGTGAACCAAAGGTTTGCACGATTTGGACTGTCGGAGTTCGCACTAATTACTGGCTTGAAGTGCAGTCCGGTACCTAAAGGTGCCGAAGTTGACAAAATCCTAGAGAAACCCCGTCTACAAGATAAAATGTTTGCTAATATGGACCGGATAACGTGTAGCGACTTGGAGAAAAAAAATTTGAAATGTGCCAACCGTAACAATCGTTACAAGTTTGGGTTGGCACTAATTATTGAAGAGGTATTTAATTCAAGAGATCGAAATGTAGGAACAAATTCGACAACTCTTTCCATCGTTGACGACTTGGATTTTTCAATGCCTACCCATGGGGGACAGTATGTTTTCAACTTCTCATCAAATCACTACTTGAATGATTGTGATATGATGACTTACACATTGTACGGATTCCCTCTTGCGTGTATACATCTATTTTGGTTTATTTCAGTTCTTCTCATCGCTCATTGTTATTTATCTCCAAATATGGTTATTACTGTTACAAATGTCATGCAGATTTAGGCGTACGAAGCAATTCCAGAGTTGGGAGCTCGATTCTCGAGTAAGACTTGTGACGATGTCCCGAGGATGTTGCGGTTGTCTGGCACGAAACAACCTCATTCCCGAACATATTCAGATTTTTTTGAGAAGACAAATGTAGGCGATTTACATACTTAATTGCCTTACACTTCGCAATATATATTATTTCATTTCGCCTATTTTTCTTCTCCTGTAGGTGCACTTGTGGGCAACGCTGCGAGCAACTACTGCAGAAGAATTGCAGCGGTACCTCGTCGATCTAGTTCTGTTGGAAGACGTAGCCGACCCCGTTCTAGATGATCTTGTTGCTCAATCAATAGAAATACAAGCTTGTCCAGTTGAAGATGATGTCATACGAAACGAAGACAACAACCATCGACCAAATAAATCCCAGAGAGGCAACAAAGGTGGACCTCGTCATCGAGGTTTGCATCATGTTGAAGGCAGAGAAGAAGAGCATGGGGATTCGATCGTTGAAATACCTATGTCTTTAGATGAGATAAGAGTTATCTTGAATAAACAATGGGAGGCATTTGAGAGCAAGATGAGGGATTTGAGGGAAGAAATGAACACAAGATTCGCTAGTCTCCAAAATGATCTGGGAGGTCATGTGTGTGGTTTGAGAAATCATGTCACTGATGAGATGAATGCTCTTCGATGAAGGTTTGATGAAGTTGCTACAGAAATTGGACAACACAATGTTGGTGCTGAGTATGGTGGACTTGGTCATGACGATTGCAGTGGAGACTAGCCCCGACATGATGTTTTCACTCCCAATATTTCTGCGGACAAACAGGATGTCGGAAAGGCAACCGAACCAGTTGTTTGCAATATCCCTGATGTGTCCATAACATCGGGAGGTGGGGTGGGAGTACTAGGGTCAGTATATGTTGCTTGTGATATTGTGAAAGAGGCACCAACCATTGTACCTACAGTTGGTGTGACCATTGATGATCAACTAGTTCATGATAGCGTCGTTTCTGGACCTTTGATGGCAGCTGATCCACCTACAAGTAGACCTCGATCGTTGAGGCTGAAGTAGGCTAGTGCAAACACAAAGACGCCATACACCCGATCTGATCGCAAGAGGGGTAAGAGGGATGCGTAGAATTTAGAGGTTCGCCTATTTTGATTTATATGGTGATTTTTCAATATGTATTTTTGTTTATGTCATGGTACGAAAAATGTATTTTGGTTTAGACAGTGGTTTATTTTTGTTTATATGGTGGTATGTAATATTTTGTGAATGCAAACCGGTGGTTTATAAATTAGTGACA